TACCGGGTCTGAGACGATCGCGGCTCCCGCGGCAATGTCAGGAAATGATTTAAAAACGAAGCCCCACAGAGCCTGACGCAGTCGCCATTGCCGCCGCGTCGCGACGTCGCGGATCGCGCCGACACGCCCACAGTAGCGTCAGAAGGCGCCGACGCAGGCTGGCGGCTCGCGAATCGGGGGCGGGGCCCCAGGGGGCGCGTAGCTGTCTCGTGTCAACGCCCACCAGAGCCCTCCCGGAAACGGGACGTGGCCCGCTGGGACCCGCAACCCCTTAGGAACCTGAGGCTCAGCGGAGTCTCCCACGGGTTGGGCGAAGTTGGGCTCCGGCGGTGTCCCGAAGGAAGGCGTGGGAATATTCCCATGCAGCGGGCGCCGGGCGGTATCGCGGCAGGCGCCATCTTGGGAAAGTGGGTGGGGCGGGCAGGAGAACTTTCTCTTGCTTAGAGAAAATGACGCGCCTCCTTCTCCTGGTAGCCCCTCCCCTGCGCAGGAAAGGTCTTTTACTTAATTTTTAATGATTGCTCTAGGATTGGCATAGGCTGTAGTTCAACGTGGCCGCCTAAGTACCTGACGCGGGGTCTGGTGTCTAGTGCGGAGTGAGTGTATGAATGAATGAACGAACGATGGGATGAAAGTGGCAACCTTTTCCTAGGCTTATCTCCCTCCTATATTGATCTGGTACCTTCCTCAGGCTGTAGTTCGATTCTATTGGAAGAAAAGATGGGCAGCGACCTTATACTCTAGTACTCAGAGGTACTCAAGGTCCAAATTTGAAGCTCAATTGTCAACATTCCAGTGTAAATGCCAGTTTCACTGGTTGACTGTTTATTTTATAAATTCACAACATGTTTCTTTTTTAAATAGATATTTTTTTCAAAAATTGTACAGATTGCTGAAAGTGAAGGGGTCCATATTTTTTAATTGGGTGGATATTTATTGAACTACTAAGTGCCAAGCACTATACCAGCCTCTGGCGGCAACAGTGAATAAGACAGGCACAGTTCAAGGGAGAAAGAGTTAGAAAAGCTGGTAAATGATATGGTAGGAGAAGTACATCAGGATGTTGGAGAACAGCATACTTAAACTTTTGGGTCTCTGCACCACTTTACACTCAAAAACTATTGGAGACCCCAGAGAGCTTTTTTTATAGGTGGATTATATTTATCAATATTTGTTGCTCTAGTATTAAAAATTCCACTTAAAAACTATTAATTCGTTTAAAATAATACATTATGTGTAAACATGAGTATAATAACCCAGACTTCAGAGTGGGGAAAAGCTTCCCAGAATAAATTATTTCTTCTATTCCAGTGACCTTTGCTTATAAACAGAGGTTGTGTGTAGATTCTAGAAAACCCTGGTTCCACACATACCAGCAATGTGAATCTAATTTCAATCATAATAGTGTTTTTAAAATAGTAGTTTGGGGAGCTGGGACTATAGCTCAGTGGTAGAGCACCTGCCTCATGAGGTGTGAGGCACTGGGTTCAATCCTCAGCACCACATAAAAATAAATAAATAAAAAGATACTGTGTTCATCTATAACTAAAAAAATATTTTAAAAAATAATAGTTTGGGTTCGTTTTTGTTTTCAATTACATTTTTTTTTTTTGGTATCATGAAACTCTTTTCTGGTAAGAACAATTAGTGAACTGAATTTCCATGCATTTTATATGGGTTTTTTTTAGACTCCTTTAAATATTGCTAAAGGTTTCTTCCTAGATCCAAAAATTGTATATAGCTGTTATTGGGCTCCTGTTTCATTCCTGAATTTATAGTATAGGTGATTATATGCTCCTTATCCTGCTGCACATGACAGTTTCTGCCTGCTGTACACCCAAGCCCTTCACAAGCAGACACATATTCCTTATGCCTAAGTCCCATGTCACCCAGCCACCCTGGCCCAAAGACTACCCAGAGGTCTGTGGGGTGACCTGGCAGGTTGGGTAGCAATGTGTTTTAGACTGGGTTCGGTTGTCAATAAGAGCTTCCCCCAGGAAGATTGAGTATAGAACACATGGGTGTCAGACTAGAGCAGAAGCAAGGAGACTCAGAAAGTAAAAGGAGCAACTGAAGCAGCATTAGTTACTGATACCTGATAATAATTGAGCAGTGGAATTGGGAGCTAAGCACGTTTGTACCTATGATGCCATTCTCTTTCTTGACAGTTGCTGTGGTCTGTGAGGCCAGGTTCCTCTTTGTGCTTTTTCTTTTTATATTTGTACAGAATAACTCCTAGTAACAGGTGATCTGGAAACATCTCTCTTTGCAACCTGTATTTTTTAAAAAAATTTTTTTGCAAGTCACAGAAACACTCAAAGTAACAAGTAAAATGAGAGTCTATAAAGATAGGTGGTAGCTCCTGAAACTCCAGAGCACAATGGACATGGGTCACATAGATACTGCTGGGCTTAGGAATAGGAATTTAAATAGCCAGCTTCTCTCTGAATAGTTGCTTCATCCTCCTCTCTCTGACCTCTGAAAGGGGTGATCGTGTGGTACTCCTGGCCTAATAGAACACAGCCTTTGTGGTAAATAGAAATACATGAATTTACCAAAATAGAGAATCCTTGGCCAGAGAAGTCACCTCTCTAGCCTAGGAACTCTTTCTGGAAAGTTAAGGAACTATATCAAACTATATTTTGTAAAAATAGCCTCTTCAAGCCCATTCTGTTCAGGAATGTTCTTGTCCCCATACCCTGTAATCTCAAGACTTAGTAGAAATAAAAAGACTTCCTTCTGACAGATTGATGGATCCTTGACCTAAGATGGTTCAAACTGCAGAAATTCTTTAAACTCAAATTTGCTATTTGCAGCAGGCACACCAGTGTTAAATGTAACACTTTGAACTTTTATGACAGACTTTCCTGATGAACATTATTTTGGTTATACCTAATTTTGGACTATGTTTTCATGATTTATAGTGTATTATTATAGTCCATATCCTAGATCTTGTGTGAGGGAAGACTGAGCAAAATTGAAAAATACATGAAGTTTGTTGGGCACATATCCCACTTCTCCACTATCTAGGGCTCTCTCCAAAGAAATGAAATCTTCCATAGGAACATTTATGGTATGATAAGCAGTAGTGTGAAAGAAATTGTGGATATTGTGGCCTACTTGTAAGGTTACCTCTGACAAAATCTGTTAAAAGAGAGACTACCCCCTCTGAAAAAAATTAAAACAAAGCGATGAATTTTAACTCTAATTCTCCAGCTAGGCATAGGAGGAGGTTGGCCCCCTATAAAACTATTTAGGAAATTATTTTGTATCAGATACTAACTCACTTGGGGATTACTAAGAATGAAAATAAAGAAATTTCTGTGATCTCTGGTTTTATGAACTACTAAAATGTTCTCTTGGCTTTTGTAACCTGGTACTTTTATTGTTTCTAAAATGTTATGCTTAGTAAATATGTAACTTTTACTCAAAGTGAGGAAAATGGTAATATTTTGGAGTTATGTGACTTGAAAATAGCATAGATCTTGGAGTTAAAATGTGTTCTTAGTTATATTCTGCCAGAAATGCTGTTTTTAAAATATGAATTACACAAAGCCATTTCAAACTTTTATTTCATATTTGTTTCCCCCTGTTGATTACAATGTCAACTTTAAAACAATATTAATACAATATCAGCACCCCCACTTTAAGTTAACCAGTTTTACAGAAATTTAGTCTATTGTTGATATATATCCCCTTTTTGAGCCACATCATTAGCAAAAGTTTACAACTACACAAGCCATTTAAAGAAAGCTCAAAACTACCGAAAGCACACTCAAAATTCGAGTTTTTTTTAAATACAAATTTAACTATCTATAGTAACAAACATAAGCTTTAATTTACTTCTGAGAATACATTTTCTGAAACCACAAATCTACACCTGACAAATCTATTGACAACAGTTTTTAAAATGACAGTAACAAGCTTATTGTGGTAGCAAGTAAGAGCAGAGGATAGAAGATCAGATTCTTCCATCTGATTTCCAGGGACACAGATTAATTATGTCATACTCTTACAGGACTTAGGCACCCTTTGAGTTTAATAAAATCAAGCAAGAAAATGATCTGATGATGATTGCACATCCAGGTGTTAGGGATTTCTGTGTGGTACTTCTACATGTTTTTAGAAAGAGGGCACTGCTTACCAGAAGAAAATCAGTTTCCTTAAAGGAAGAATTTCAGACACTGGCAGGATTGCAGATGTTTTGACAGGGTCCCTTAATGACACCATAAAACATGTCCATTTATTCTTCTGCCTGTGAATAAAGTTAATTCTTAAAAATACTTGTGGAAAATAACTTTGCCCAGTTATTAATCGATGATAGTTGTATTAATCGATGATAGTTGTAAGTAGAACCACAGTCAATTAAGTGTTGACCCAGTAAAGCAATCATCAGCTCCAGACCCTTACTCAGTATTCACCCCCAAGCATTTACATGTCAATTGCACAGATTATAATGAGATAGAGACTAAAGGAAAAGGGCAGTCACTCTGTGAAGATGTTTTTTTTTTAAAGAAAACTGCTTAAGAGACATTTTATCTCTTTTAGATCTCCTTTTCATACACAAATTACAATTGTAGTTGCTATGTTTACACCACATTATAAACACAAACACAATTTTATGACAATCACATGAGTGTGAGAAATTCTAAGCATCAGAGAAGCAGTGGAAACAGTGGGTTTTTAAAGTTTGATCTTGTTTCTTTTGCCTTCCCTCCTGTTCAGCCTCCATTCAATGGCATATGCAAAAGCATTTTTCTATACTTAACGGTCTTGATTTTATTTAGACAGGCCAAAGGCATTACTGTTTGTACTTTGAAGAAAATCATGGTTCATCTCTCATTAATAGGAATCCTTCACTCCTAAGATTCCAACACAATTCACAAACAACAAAAATCTGGACACCATACACCTATTCACAGCTTAGAGTTGGATACACACTTTGGGAGGAAAAACACCATTTTTAATTGAAAAGCTAGACTGTGTCCTCTTCCTTCTTCATGCTGCACCCACTGAACAGGGCCACACTAATTTCAGACACCTGTGTGCTCCCAGTGCCAGGAACTGGGACCCTTCCCATCACAGCCAGATTGTTAAGAGGGGTAGCAGCAGGAGAAGGTTCAGACAGCTCTGCCTTGCAGCAGAAAAGCTGAGCTTTAAAATGCTTCTGGAAGGTTTTGCTCAGCCAGTAGAGAGCAAAGGGGTTTACACAAGAATTGCTAAAAGCCAGCACCCGAGAGAAAATGGTGACAATAAAATGGATGGCAGAAGGATCTACATAGTTTTGGTAAGTGAATGAGTGGTAGAGATACAGTAGGTGATTCGGCAACCAGCAGAGAGCAAACAGAGCCACCAGCACCAGTACCGTTTTGGCAATTCTCTTCCGGGATTCAATCTACAGGGGGGAAGAAAAATGACACACAAAAGAATCATTTAGCTGGCAGAGATTTTTTTCAAGCCACTCTCTATAGATTTACACAGAAATTTACAATTAACAAACTGGTCTCCCTCAGAACATGTGGTGTGAGCTAACTGTCTGAGATGTGCCAGAAGTCAGCCTGTGGCTACAGAATACTGGCAAGTTAATTGGCATGTTTACCCGTGATCTTGGTCTCATTAACTCTATTTCAGAGACCTCCCACTGGCCCCTGATTTAAAGATACTCTAGGACGTCTCCAGTTAACTCAAAGAGTGTGGTGGAATTCCCAGCAATTTCATTTAATTAAAACCCAGGAAAGACACTATACAAAACTGCTTATGCTACATCAGCAGAGTCTGACAAGGTTAGAATAATCTTCTAGGATTCATGAATGTTGTCATGTTGGTATCCAAAAAGTCTCTAAGGGCTGGTGGTATGGCTCAATGGTAGAGTGCTTTGCTAGCATATGCAAAGCCCCAGATTTGATTCCCAGTACCAAAATGGGGGGGGTGTTATTTGTCTATATGGAAGTTTAACCATATAGTCAAAGGACTGAAACCAAATGTGCCAGCTTTAATATATAATAATAATAGTAATACTATGCACATTTATTTAAAAGAGAAATGAACCAGATTTAAGTGAAATTAACCCTTTTGTCACAGTCAGAACAAAGTTAACTGTTTCACAAAGCATTAAAAATGCAATTTAAGCCTCTGAGCACCACTGTATAACTAACTGAATGAACTAGCTCCCCCAAAAGGCACAACTCTCCTCATACATATCAGAAGGTAAATGGAATTACCTCCCTGTGTCCCAAGGGTAGAAATCCTATGAAACTATATTTTGGCAGTATCTATTTTCTTCTGTCCATATTTATATGAGGAGACTACACCTGGCTCTGGCAAAAAGGTTTTAATTAAGCTTCTGTTAGTCACTGTGTTCTCTTGCCACTGCCTTTTCATTCAGCTGCCCCCCCCACCCCACCGCAGTTTGCTCATCTGTGTGTAAATGGTTTGCATTGAATAATGTTATGGGTTCTTGCCAGTTCTACAATTCTGTGCATTTCTATTATTCTGTTACATTGTCTAAAACAAAATATGCTTTTCTTTATAATCTCACCTTATGTGATGTTCCTCATTATTCCATGGGGTTTTAGCTCTTCACAAATTTCAGCTGTCCCCTCTCTATTAATAATAATAATTCCACCATTTATTTAATTCATACTCTGCACAAGTAGCTATGCTAAGTGTTTCGTCCATATCATCTAGTCCTTGTTTACTTTTTACAGATAAGGAAATCAAAGCTCAGAGATGTTAAGTAGCTTGCTCAAGATTACTCAGCTAATATGTGATAAGGTTAGTATTAAAACCACAGTCATAACAAAAATACTGCTACTGAATTTATGCACAGGTAAATACACAGTTGCAGAAGGAGGAATTTTGGATATAAATTCAAACTATTTGTATGACTGCCAATTAATACATACCTGTTTGCGGGCATGGCTTTGTTCCTCAGTAGGTATGTTCAAGGTGCTTTTGTAAAGAGTCCTAGCAATCAAAGAATAATAGACAGAGATAATTGAGAGTGGAATAATGTAGAACACTAAGAAGCACAACAGAGAATGTATTTCTTGCAGGAGCCTTTCAGAGACAGGGTAAGAGGCACATGATTCATATGTTATATTTTTGTCAGGATCTCGAAAAGTATACACATTTGAAAAGATAGCCTCTGGTAGAGCAAATATCATAGACACGATCCAGATGCAGCCAGCTTTTGCACAAGTCTTCAGGATGGCATTGGAGGGCTGTCGCTCAAGTGGCTTCACAACTGCTTTGTATCTAGAAACACATAAGCAAAAGCAAGGGTTAACATAAACACCAACATTATAGACTCTTAGGGTTAGAAGTGACCTTAGCAGTCATCCAGTTCTGCGTGTGTAAACAAATAAACATTAACTGACTAGAATTGGTTACGGTTTCAAAGACACATAATACACCCCAGGATTTTATATTTATGCTAATCAGCTATTCTCCCTTATTCACTCCTATGAGATATTGCAGATTTGCAATTTTACATCTAGACTCTCTATTTAGAACAAATATTTTTCACTATGATTTTATGTGTGATTGAGAATAATTCATTACCTCTGTATTGCCTTAAGTGTTCTAAAAGAATTCCATCTTTATAAGTGACTCATGTTAAACTGAATTAACTCTTTTCTTCATGAGTGAGCTGTCTTCAATCTCTCTAGAAAAGAATTCCAGGGACTTACAGCAGTAAAGAGGTGAGGGTTAATTTCTTCTCCATTCATAAGTGCTACTTTGTTGCCTAAACTGATGGATGGAGTAGGGAGATTTAGGACAAGGAAAGAGTGAAATCGGAAGACCTGTGCCTGTACAAGTGCCTCCTCATTGGGACAAATCCACTTTAAAATATATAGCCTTTATGTGAGTCTGCCCTCAAACAGAATATAAGACTAGTCAAAGCAAAAATCCAAAAAAGATTCGGAGGAAAGCTTTTCCTCCTCTCAGATGCCAGAATCGGAAGACGCTATTCCTTCTGGTACTGCCAGGCATTGGTTACTTACAGGCTTCTTGCAGGCTTTTTAAACACCACTTTTAACATTTGGAGACTCAATTTTTTTTTCATGCTTTCACAGTTATCATTCTACAATAGGAACACAGAAAAACACCGTACTTAGACTGAAAACATCCTAACACAAGAGTCCAAACACCCTGATGGTGAAAGGTTCTCACACACTCTCTCCATAAAGCTCCGAAAGTCAATCAGGATTAATTTATTTCTCTGGAAATGAAAATGTCACTGAATGCCTATGGAGAAAACTAATAGAATTAAGTGATGAAATTACACTGAGTTATCAGGGAGTTGAAAACCTCACCGTTTTTCTGTCACTAGCTAGTTTGTTGAATTTCAAATAAATTAGCTGCATGTTATCTCTTTACCTTCCTTCCGGTATACAGTAATGCATATGTGGTGGATTTCACACCTATGCCGATGTTTTCATGTTGCCTATATTGTACCACTAGGCTGCACTAATGTATAAAGCATGTTTTTTTCTTTTACACCTGCAACAATTTGCCTTACTTAATAAGCCGGAGGAAAATAAAAACACTATTCGGTATTCTTTCAAGCAAATAATTACACTTCAAAGAAAATAAATTCCCCTGAAGCATATATTTTCATCGTCTCCCCAGATGCTAATGCCGGAATGTTAACATTTTTACACCAACTTTCATTTAAAATGCCACCAGATTTTCCAATCTTACATCCAGGTTACAGAGCGTGAGAAAAGCAGAATAAAAGCTAGTAAATGCTAAGCACAGGCTTTTCTTTCTTTTTACCTAAATCCACATCCTTGCAAATAAAACAGAGAAAAGAAACTCACCTGTCAGCGCTGAGAATTGTTAATGTGAACACCGACACACCAACAGAAGTGAGCCGGATGAAAGAGAGCACCTTACAACCAATTCTTCCGAACAGCCATCCCTCTGCAAGGTAGTGGGTTGCATCCACTGGCACACAAGTCAGCAGAAGTAAAAGATCTCCAAAAGCCAGGCTGGTGATGAAAATATTTGGAACTGTTTGCATGGATTTGGTCTTGAAAAAGACTTTGATGAGAATAGCATTTCCAAGGATGCCCACTGAAATGATCACAGCATAAGTGATATAGATGGCACACAGTGCTTCTATTCCTGGAGAGTTGTCTCCGGTCCGTGCTTTATTTGTGGTATCGTTGGAAACGACAGAGCTTGATGATTCTGTGTCATTTGTGATTGAAATTAAAGTCTCATTAGGTGACTGAGGCTGCCTTTGAGACATTTCTCCTGGAGACTGGCTGTGTCTTCAATATTTCATCTGCTCAGTTCAAATGTAGTTGATTGTCATGCCCAGTGCCTACCTACGTCTAGCAATGAGGTGGTATTAGGAGAACAGAACAGAACAGAATGGAAAGAAAATCCAAGACATCCGGATACTCCTTCCCTTTAGTTGTTCTGTGACTCCCAGCATGCTTGGCTAAGCGCTTACCAATCTGGCACTAGAGAGTGGGAGGTGGAGGATGGAGGAGTCTTATTGGTGTTCCTGTGACATAAGGGGAGGGAGGGGGCTGAGGAAATGCTCTGCAGTTGCTTATTCCTCCCTGTTGGGTAATCCTTTGATTAATTAACTTAATTAAGTCATCTTATTGTTTATTAGACTCACCCTGACCTTATATCTAACCACCAGGTCTATATTGACCTTGGCGATTTTTTCCTAAAAAAAACATCACTTACTCCTCTACAAGCTCATGGTAGTCTAATGCATTTTGTTTTACATGAAAAATAAGTGTAGGAGTCCCCCTGAAGCACAAAACTTGAACCCACTCTGCAAGATTAAATGTCAGAGAGGTGCTCAAGCAACAAATCCTTCATACCTTGGCAGGGCTTATATCACCTCCAAGAAGCAATAATTCAGGTAACCCAGGCTTCATACCTAGCTCTGACATATGGTTATTCCTAACCTTGCATATTCCCTGGCTGTGCTGCACCATTTCAAGGCAATCTTTAAAAGATGAAAAATCTAGGCAAACTACCAGTTGCTTTGTGGCTAAATGTCCTAATAGAAAAAAATTTACCATTTGTTTTAATACCACATTTCAAAAAAGAACTGTTTAGGGATTCTCTCTCTTAAAATGGTTAAAATTACCTGGACTTATTCCCAAAAGAAATAATACAGAACACCACCACTTGAGATCCTGATAGAATAGGATTTGTTAGAATGAAAATCATTATCTTCAGACAAGGATATGCCATAGATTACTCCAGAGGTGAGGGGAAGGTATGTGATGTTTACATCAATTGAAGGAAGTAGAAAATTAAGTCCCAGCAAGAAAAGCCCCCTTTTACAGAAAATGGGGCGGGGGGTGCTTGAGAATTAGATGCCAGCAGTTTGAGGGTAGCTAATAATAAAACCTGCCACAAAAATATTCTCTGAAACTATCAAACTCAATGGATATTGTTTTAGTTAGATGAAACTTGGCATAGTAAGATATTTATAAGTATAATCATATTAGAAATTATTCTAGAAAGTGCAATGAAAAACAACAAATTATTTAGCTAGTTGATGAAGGGGAGAAGCAAACAGGCTGCTCTTTATACTGATGAATTAGGTTCAATAAATTGCACTAAGCAAGATGGATGAATTATATAGGTGACCTAGTTAATTTGAGACCCTAAACCATACCTATCCTCCTCCCTTTACAGAATCATCTCCACAGTTCAAATTACTCAGTTAAATATGTGCTTTTGATGAGGATGGGGTAAGGGAGTGTTTGCATAAGCCTCAATCCCCAAGCTTTTCAGTACATATGCTCAAGGAGTTTTATGCACTGAGCAGGCTCTTTAAGATTATCTCTACCCACCCCCTCCCCCAAGAAAGGATCTCTAGAGTTCACATCTTATTCTCACTAAACTAACTATGAACTTCCTCCAGGATTCCTGCATATTATTTAGCAAAGAGTGAACAGTATCTCCCAATTCACACCACAGCTGATATTCACACAGCACTGTTTTCTAAGGAACAAATGCTGGCATGTGATTTCTGAAATCAACTGAATTCCCAAGATCTCAGTGATGCTCTTAGCAGGTCGCAGCCATCAAGGTCCTTTGCCTTCCCCTTCTTCCTCTGATCAGGCAGAGGTCAGGAGAGAGCTGCAGGATTGAAGTGGTGGGGTTATGTGTCTTGGATCCCTGGAATTCCAGATTTTCGAAATATCAGAAATGGAAGTGACCTTAGGGATGATGAAAGCAAATGCTCTCATTTTGCAGAGACAGAAATAAGGTACAAAGTGGGAAAGCATCTGATCCAAGGTCTCATGCACATTCTGTATTGGATTTTCTTTCCATTGTGTTCTGTTCTGATCTCCTACTTATCTCTGGCTTCTAAATGGTTAAAAAATCAGTGACAGGAGCTAAAAACACTCAGTTCTTGTCAATGAGCCATATTTTCTCATTTGGCATCGTAGACTTAGATTTTCTGCATGTTTTATTAACCCAAGAACCAAAGATTTCCCAGCTAATCAGCCATTCATGATAGATAACTCACCCACAAAACTTAACTACACCTAGTTAATCATTTGTAATTAAGATTGTGGAGTACTTAGGCTATACAAAATGGTGAAGTCCTTTTTTTTAATTTTAGAACATACTGGTCAACATTATCATCCAGGCTTTTCAAAACAAACAACTTGGTTACAGATTAAACAATTGAAAAACAATCCTAATGTAGCTTTTAACTCAAAGACATATTGCATTTTGAACAAATAAATTAGTAGTTTCCTGAAGTTGGATTTCCTGGTTTTTCCTAGTTTAGTCAGTTCATGTTGTCAAAATCTTGTTTTTGAATTTCCGGGGATCTAGGGACATAGGGATTCTGAAATACCCTTCTCTACTTCCAAGACGGTGGAGAGAAAAGTTATAAAGTGAGCTAGAGAGAGGTTACAAATATGGCTCCAAGTTTCTCAGCCAACAGTTAAAAAGGAGAAATTTTAGCTTCCATCAGAATTACAAGGAAGGCTTTTATCAAAACAGGGATTGCTGAGTCCTGTATCCAGAGTTTCTAATTTGGTAGGTCTGGAGTGAGACCAAACTTGTACATTTCCCATAAATTCCCAGGTGATGTTGCTGCTGCTGGTCAGGAACCACACTCTGAGAACCACTTATTTAGGATCAAAATAATCCAGTTTATGCAAGAGAATTATACTTTCTCTGTATATTAGGTTGAAGGAATATTTCTATGGATCTTCATTGAAGAAAAACACATTGTATGAGGTGATCAATGTGCCAAAAATCTTCTAGGAGGTGACCCTCCTCTATGGATCTCCATCCCTGGTAAGCCAGATTTGCTGAACTTTTGGGTAGCTCTGCTCAAATGGATGAGGGAGGCTTGGAGTGATCTTACTAATGGGAAAAGATGAACAGGATAAACCTTTTGCCTCTGACACAAGCACAGAAACTCTTGTATACTTGAGACTGAAAAAATAACTAGAATTTTCAGTTTCTAAGACTCTCATTATAGAGGTTCCTTCTTTTATACTCTTTTGCTAGGAAACAGGATGAATTTTCATAAAATCAACTGGGATTTATTAATTTTAAGAGGATACAATTTGACTTGTGGGTGTATTTGGATCTATGTAATAGTGATTCCTATTGTCACAGAGTTCTGTTCTCTTTCATAATTTCTTGCCCCCAAATTTCTTGCTTTATTAGTACAGTTTCATATACTGACATTACTATTCAGAATGGTCTCTACAGAGAACAAGTAAAATAAATACAAATTGCAATGGTGGACTGTACTAAGAATAGAAATTCCAATTGAATCCTTTAAGTGGATTTTTTTGTTGAAGGCAAATTCTTACCATGATTAAACCTAAAGTTTCCTGAAAGTGGACATTCATGCAGGCCATTCCTAGATTTAGGTGATTGATAGATGCCTTTATCTCCACCTTTGTCCACCTCCACATACCTAATCTTACATACTGTGATTAATGTGAAATTCTATGATTATAACAGGTTGTTAGAATTTTGAATTAGATAAAACGTTTAGACTTTTTGAATATTGAGGTACAAATTATGAAGTAGATGAATTCATCTCTTAATGCATTTCTGTCTCTCTTCTCATTAATCTTCTTTCTTTTCAAGAATTTTTTTCTCACACACTCAATCATGTTTTCTATTCCCTCATGAATTACTTTCAGCCTCATACTTGTTAAAACCATTAAGATGCTTCAAACCAATGAAGAAAAGACATTTGACGTGTGGTTCCACAATGCCACTCCTAGACATCTATCTATCCCAAATAAATGAAAGCATATCTTGACACAAAGACTAGTATACAGATGTATATGGAAGTGTTCTTCATAAAAACAAATTGTAAGTAACCCAAAAGTCCATCAGTTAGAAAATGAGTATACAAAATATTTATTAAGACTGGAATACTATATAGCCATAAAAATGACAAATTTGCTATGTGTTACCATATGGATGCATCCTAAACATATGCAATGAAAGACATCAGACCTACTATATGATTCCTTAATATAATATTTCTAGAAAAGACAAAACTGTAAGTGATGGATAGCATATCAGTGGTTACTTAGGTCTGCAGTTTGGGGCAGGGATGACTGCTAGGGTGAACAGGGAAAATTTAGGGATGATGGAAGTACTCTCAAGCTATGTAGTTTGGTGATGGGTGTATAATTGTATACATTTATTAAAATTCACACTCTACACTTAAAGTAGGTGAATTCATGATATTTAAATTATACGTCAATGAAGCTGAAAAAAATGTGGGAAAATGTAAGCTGGGGACCAGGTGCCACTGGGGGATAGAGGTAAGACATAGCAGTATCACAGCATTCTGTCAGGAATAGAATTCATGCTCTTCAGAGAAAGATGAGAAGACTTTTAGCACCTGTTCTCAAAGATCTTAATGAAGGAGAAAAGGAAAGGACACAAACAACCATAAAATATGAATTTCTCTGGCTTCAGCACACACTTGTTCACATAGAGTGTTTAGCTTCTTGTCAATCCTTGTCTGTAGTTTTGGGCTAAAGTTTTATTAGAGTCAGTGGCAATTATTGAATGCTTAGGGTTCTGTCATAGGGTTTCCCCTGTGATGATAAGCAAAGATATTCCTCCCTGCACTGTTGCTGTTCCACTGGGAGCCCTACACTCTGCCCTACAGTCTCCATGTCACTCTGCCAGGTCTAATAGCTTTTTCCCACTATTTCACCAAGCATAGCAATTTCTCTCCACTGGTCTTCTTGGCACTTCCAGTATGACAAAGTATTATAAGGCTGCAAGTTAAAAATTAGTTCTTTTATCCATCAATATCCAAATTACAACAGCATTGAGGGCCCCTGTTAGGGTTTGGTTGTGAGATGTCCCCCAAAAGCTCACATGTGAGACAGTGCAAGAAGGTTTGGAGGAGAAATGATGGTGTCATAGCCTTAACCTAATCAGTGAATCAATTCCTGATAGGATTAACT